AATTGTTGTACAGTTTATGCTTTCATGCCTTATTTGATATATTTGTTGCAGGATCTGGCATTGTGTATGCTAAAAGATGCACTATGTTTAAACACAGGATGACTCAACATCCTAAAGATATCAATACTCTGCAAGTTGATCTCCAGATTCAACATAATTCCAAAGAAATTCGACCAGAGCTTTTCATGAAGCTTGGCATGCTGATGGTGAAATTTATGTAAAATAACAAAGGGCTAAAAGTAGCCAGCATATTTCTGAAGAACAAATAAAGAGAACATTATGGAAGGAAACTGCTCTCTCAGCTGCGACTGCTGAATATAAAGTTGTAGCTCAAAACTAACTACTAATAGAGGAAATAAAAGTTAAACCCATAGTGAGTTCATATTCAAAGATAGTGTCTTGGTTATTTTTCTCACATTGCTGGAACAAAACACCTGACACTCCAAATTAAGGAAGGAAAGGTTTATTTAGCTCACAGTTTGTGGAAGTTTCAGTCCATAATCAGCTGGCTCCAAGGCAGGGTGGCTGGCACCAGGGCAACACTTCAAGGAGTCAGAGGGCAGCAAAGCAATATGAGGAAAGGCGGGGAAGAACTCTTTTCCTCCTTCACATCCTAAGCCATGCTCTCCTTTGCACAGGCTGAAGATGTTTACAAAGTAAAGACCTTGGCCCCCCTGCTGAATCACTTAGTTAAACTTCTGACCTCAGTTTGACATAATGGACAATATTACTCCCCAGGGTAGAGAGCTGCTGAGTTACTTAGTTAAGCTTCTAGACTTCTCAAATTGACACAATATGTCAACCATAACAATTGGAAGAATGTAAAAAAGTTTCTAATACTAAGTGATGGTCAGGATATAGGATAATCACAGCTCTTTTTTTTTTTTATAAAAAAGCAAAACAGAAAAAAGGGTAGAAATGATACAGGATTCCAGAAAAAATAATAGCAGCTCTTATATGCTGTTTGTGAAGGGCAAGATAATATGGAACAATCCCTTTGGAAAATAAGTTGGCAATGCCTAGTAAAGCTGAGCATACCACGTCTTTGAGTCAGTGTGTGCTGACTTAATGTCCGTTACATAACTTGGAAAACGAAGTGAATAGAATCATTTTTATAGTAGCATAAATGGGAAACAATGTATGTGTCTAACAGGACTAGAGTGGCTAACAAAATCAGGTGTGTTAATTAAATGGTATGATACAACAGTGAAAATAAATAGACTGTTTAGTTGATTAAATTCACTTGAATGAAGAAGGCAGTTTCTCAAACTATATAATGACATCTATCAAAAGTTTTAAAAATAAAAGTTATCATATTTAGGAATATTAAATATGTGGTAAAATTAGAAATGAATGCCAGCAAGTGATAAATACAAATGTCAGGATTTTGGGGACCTCTTTGTATTGGGCAAGAAGATCACCTGCAAAGAGCAGAGAGCTTCTGTGTAAGCTCTGGGTTTGTTCTCTTATTGTTATTTAACTGGTGGGAGTCCAGAGAGGATTTTATTTTCATGCCTTATAACTTGTACATTTGTTGCTTTTTTATATGTATCAAGTATTTCCAATGTAAAAAGTAAAAATAATAATCTGTTTCAAACATATTCTGTTAGACATCCTTTATCAACTTTATTTATAACACAATAGTTAAAGTACTGAACACATCCTGCTGCTTTTCCCTTAAATACCTCTTACTTCCCCATCACCTTGCCTGTAGTGAGATGGGGCCTTTGGAGCTTGGATACAGCTATCCATGACCTTCCAGGACCTCAATATTTTTTACTGAAACTGGTAATAATAGGTATGTCTCCATTTTTTTTCACCCAACACAAGTTGAACTTTTGCTTTGTTACAGATACAAGTGAATAGACTGTCTTGTCTCAAGGAACTAGATTTATTCACACCCAGAAATATAATCATGAGCTATAAGCAGTGTTAGAGAACCTCACAGGAGACAGGAATTGGTTTTTAATTCAAGGAAGATTACAAAGAAATGATGGTATCGAGTGAGCATCAATGGATTGTTCCAGTTTACCCTGTGCATTCAGATCTTGCTTTCATCTCACCCACCTTCTGCTAAATACAAAAATTGATTTAGTTGAATCTCTGTGTCCCCCAAAGAATTGGCCATTGTCGAGAATGACTCATGACTCATCCCTTAACTCTCTGCTCCCACCCCCACTTTCTGGAAGTCACTCCTCATTGCCTGTTCAGAGGATGAACATGAGTATCAGAAGGACATTAAATCAACCTGGGTTGTTGGCAGACAGAATAAACAGATTCCATTCTACCCTTGTCTAGACTTGGGTAAAGAAAGTGCCCTAAAAACACCACATAAATATTTTTTTGGAATGTTGTGTCTTCATGAATCATCTGTCTTAGACTGGTCATTTTGTGTCCCTTTTTATGTGACTGGGAGAACCAATATCTGACAAATTTACTGACCCTGAGAAAAACTTCTGGGAAGAAGCTCCTGCTTCCTGGACATCAGCTCCAGCCACAGTGCTAATTTTTCTGTTTCTAAATGATGTACTCATGACTGCAGATTTGGAAGTATCTTAAAATCTTCTCATTTATTAAAATCTTTGGAGACTTCGTGTTTCTAAACTTTTAGTTTAATGTAAGCCATCTTTAACCACAAGAATTTAATGTAGAAAAAGGACAACTTCTGTACATTGTCTCCAAAAATCCTTTTGATAGCTTAATTTCACCAGTAGACTTTGAGAGTAAGGGGCCTGGGAGTGCAGACTCCTTTTTCTTGTTTCCTGAAATGATCCCTTGAAGTCATAAATCACTTGCCATCGCGTCCCTTTCTCTTAATCCTGCAGTGACTTCTTACAGGAAATTCAGAAATTCTTCCTGTGCTTTCAGATTCACTCCAGAATCTGCCCTTTTTGCCGCCTTTCTCCCTTGCTCACATTCTGTCCCAGCCACACAGACTGACCATGCCGGGACCTTTGAACAAGCTCGATCTGCTGGCATTATTCGTCCTCAGATATTTACAGAGCCCGCTCCTATTTCATTTAAATTTCCACTCAATTCTGTTTGACAGCTACTTCTGCATAGTACTTTTATCCTGGTCACATTATTTCAAGCACAGTTCTTATTGCTCAGGGTTCCTACATAAGTCTGCTGTGTTTCCTCATGGCAGATGTCAGCACCTAACATCATATCGTCACTATGATACTATCTTTCTATGCTTGCTGTCGTTCTCTGGTCTGAATGTTGGTTTCCTCTAACAAATGGATTAGACCAAAATTCAAATTTTAAAAACATTACTTTTAAAGCTAGAAAAACGTCTCCTAAACAATTAATGAGCTTCTAGTATTCTTAAAAGGAACATTAAATGCATTTAAAAAATGAGTTGAGATGCTGTTTTAAGCCTTCAAAATAGAATACTTTATATATTTGTGTTTACAAATGCAGTGATAAGCATTAGTTGCTTGTCCTGTAAATTTCAGTCTTTATAAAATTAGCAATGATTTTCATATTGGTTCTCCCTCTGAGGAATAAATTGATGTGCTAATCTCAGCTGATTACAGATATTAATTTTGTAATATTCCCAGATGTCTCTTAAAAATAATCTTTGTGAAACATTTTGTATGGATAAAAGAAAACAGTAAAAGTCTACTGCAAATTAGATTATTTAGATTCTCATTTTCCAATAAGGAAATTCTTGTCATTGTGTAATATGGACTAGAAGTGTCAGTAAAAGGGTAAGTTTCCTAAGGTTATTCGACTAAATAAATAGGGCTGAATTTTATAGTTTAGTGACTCCTTTTTTTTAGGTGAGAGTTTATTTTGATATATTAACTTTGTTTATTTAATTTTTTAGCCAAGGTTAATGCCATATTACTAAGACTGTCCCTGTGTAATAAAAGTATTAAAATGTAAATGTTGAAGTCCAGGGACAATTTGTATGCCTGTTTCCTTGAGGTGGAAAGTGGTTTCATTAAAATAATGCCTGTGTATCTTAGAGATGAAAAGTCTGTGCTAATTACCCCTCACAAGGAACCCAGGTGTTTGTTTTTGCAGGGCAGAATTTCAGTACGTACACTGTCTCAATTCAGCTAGGGGGCTCCTGCAGCTCCAGCCGTCTTCTGTCTCCTCTGTCCACACTGTGCTGGTTGCAGGCTCAGGGCATTGAAAGGGGCCTCTGAAAGGACAGAGCAAGGAAGGCTAATTCCTTAACCTGGAGAGTTCCCCACCCCTCATCAGAGGTGGCCACAGAGGTCACCACCCGGGAACCTCCCAGCATTCTGAGCTTCTTGCAGTCAACTTTATATGCATAAATCTGTCCCAAAGCCTGGCCTATGTACATTTTCAGAATAAATAAGTCAGTGCAGGCACTGCCCAGCACCGGCCTTGCTGAGGGAGACTGGGCAAGTACAAAGCTGGCCAAAATGGGAATGTGATGCTTCTGGCTTTGGTCTGGATTGTAAAAGCGTACAGGAGGCAGATATTATATATATTGGGTTTAAGACTGGCCAGAGTCTTAAGTCTCCTTTCTTCTGAGCAGTAGTTCTTTCTGTTCCTTTCCAAAACTCAGTTTTGCTGTACCTTTTATAGCAATGATGGAAATTTAAGTGCACAGGGTTCTGTTACTTCCCCCTTCTGTTTCCTACTGAATACCACCATTAAATTGAAAAAAATTTAGTCCTGTTTTCTGGTAGTTTAACAACAAACTTGAATTGTCTTCAAGGGAAGATGAGCATAGAGGTGTGTGCACGTACAAGTGTATAAGTTTCTCCAAAGAAAATAGATTTACGCTTTACCTTGCAAAGGGATTGATTTGGAAGGGCCTCTCTGTCTGTCTGTCTGTCTGTCTGTCTGTCTCTGTCTTTCCCCACTCATCCTCCCTCCTCTCTGTTTCTGTCTCTCTCTGCCCCCTCCTTGCCCATGAGGGAAGTGCAGGAGTTTAGAAAGCTTTCAGGAATAGAAGATGATAAGATTGAAACATAAATTGTATTATCTCTGAAATTTTCTTTGACATTCTTTTTTAGGTTGACTTTGGATTTGCTAAGAAAATAGGTTCTGGACAGAAAACATGGACGTTTTGTGGGACTCCAGAATATGTAGCTCCTGAGGTCATTCTCAACAAAGGACACGACTTCAGTGTGGATTTTTGGTCCCTGGGAATTCTAGTATACGAGCTCCTAACCGGCAAGTAAGTATGTGCCTTCAACTTCTGTTTAGCTTCTTCTTTAGAGAAGCACAAAAATAATTTGCTAATGATAAAAATATATCATTCAAGAGTTTAACATTTAGAATTATTTCTTATTAAGTTGGTTGCTGTTCTACTTCACACTTTCAAATCTAGTGGCCTTGCAACTTTATCACATGGAGAAAAGATTCTGGAAGTTGAAAAAAAGGAGTATAGGGTTACTATTTTATTCAAAATGACAAGATCTATTATTATAGGCTGCATATAAAGTATGGGAAGATTTTGATAATCCTGCATAAAGTAAGAGAAGGGTAAAGTTTTTGAATAAATGTCCTGGGATATATTATCATTAATATTCTGTCTGTCTCTCTCTGTCTCTCTTTCTCTCTCTGTGTTTACAAATGAGCAAAACTATTTTCATAGATCAGTTAAATCATTGATCAGTCAAACTAAGTTTAGTCTTGGCATTTCAGCTTCCCAACATATCATTAACTAGAAATGCTAAGAGAAAGCACATTGCTGGATTTAAATTTCAATCTCCTGTCCACCCTTTTCTAGAGGTGCTAATGAACAGAGACAAGATACAGCAGGGGTTTTAGCAGTTAAAATTGAACTGCTTTTCCCAAAGAAATTAAGAGGGTGTATCAACGAGTCCAGGGTCCACAATATTACACACACACACACACACACACACACACACACACAAAGTAATATTTTCCATATTTCTAGAACAGCTTGCAAAGCATTTCTATGTGTGTTATCTAAATTAGTTTTTATATACTTGTGTGGAAGATAAGGTAAGAATTTTTATTATTGTTTTATGATTTACAAATTTTATGGTTATTTTATGGTTTAAATTGTATGAGTTAGAAAGCCAGGTGAGCAGCTACCTGCCTAAGATCAGTGGTCAGATCCCAGATCTTCTGGCTTTAAATGTGATGCCCTTTCCAGTGCACATACTGTGTTTTACTAGCATTCTTATAGTGCTTTATAACCAAGTATTCTCAGCCTTAATTTCAAAGAGTATTTGGATACCGATAGTTTAGGAAATTCTGGAATCTGACCGTTGATGGGGATGCAAGTATGGGCATACATTTTACAAAAACAGAGCTTCGTAGACTCCTGTTAAATTTTGTTTTGCTTTGTTTTGTTGCTGGAGATTAAACCAGGGTACCCACCCTGTTAGACAAATGGTCTAATACTGGTCTCCTTCCTCCACTCCTCAAGTCTTGCTGAACTTTTTACATTGCAAATAGCAGTGTTAGAACCTGAAGCTATATACTGTACATTTACCCACGTGCATGGAACAAACAGAAGAAGGTTCACTTTCTATTATTTGTCATCACTTTCAAATATTGACTGCTTATGATTCAGAAGGAAAGAAAAGAAGACTTCCAGACAGTCATTCAAGAGAAAAATTATTTAAGGTTTTTGGACCAGTGAATGTTATTGCAAAAATTTGTTCCCTTGTTTTAGAAATTTCAGTGGCACTTTGAGAAATATAGTCTGGTTTCCATAGGTAACTGGGAAATATACATCTCCAACTTCATCACATAGAATAAATTATTATAAAAATAAAATGAGGAAATAAGGAAGAAGAAAAACCTAACAATGTGGAATTGCTAAGATGGCCTTGAGTGTCATAAAGAAACTGGGAAACTGTTTTTGCAATGTTTTCAGGGTAGGGCAGGAGAAAAGTTCATTTTAAATACCCTGAACTTTATAAGGTATGAAGCACTGAAGTAAAATAAATGAAGGAAGAACAAAGGAATAGAATAAAATTTTATATATATATCTCATACCAATGCTTTTTGTTTCCTACCTTATTTTCTTACAGGTGAGATATAGATTATTAAAAATTGGTATACCAGTTTTGTTTCAAGTTTGTCCTTACTGGCAGGTACTCTCAGTATGGCATCAGAAGGTGTCAAACGTAACCGAAATGCATCATCTTTAACTGTTAAAAATTAAATAACAGAATAAATATGAAAGTTTATAAAACGTAGAATATGAAATAAAATGTTATTCAATTTCAGTGGTCAATTCACAGTATTTTTTTTCATTTAGCAGTATTTTCCTTGAGATACTTTAGTACCTCCCTCTTTCTTATCCCACATGTATTCAGTCTCCATTGCTAGAACATTCTCGTCCTCCTGATGTTTCAACATAGGGCCACTTCAGTCCTAGACCTCTTTTCAATCTGCTGTTCCTTGGGTGATATCAAGTCCCATTGCCATACATATTGTCTGATGACCCCAATCATACTTCCACTCCTGGTTTCTTCCCTGAATCCAGCTGCTGGTTGGCATCTCCATATAGACATTCAAAACATAACTCTGAATTCCATTCCCCATAACTTGCTCTACACATCTACTGCATTAGTCAGTTTTCTGTTGCTGTGAAAAACTACCTAAGATAAACAACCTCAGGGAAAGAGAGGTTTATTGTAATTCACAGTTTCAGAAGTTCAGTTCATGGTCACATAGCATTTTTGCTTTGGGCTTGGGATTGAATAGTAATGTATCTTGGCAATAACATACAGTAGAGGTGGTCTGTTAAATATGGTGTCTAGGAAGGAGAGAGGGAAGGAGGAAAAGAGGGAAGAAGAGAGGGAGAAAGAGAGAGAGAGAGAGAGAGAGAGAGAGAGAGAGAGAGAGAGAGAGAGAGAGAGATTGAGATCTTCTTTAAGAATACATTTTACATAACTAAGCCACTTCCTAAGGTTCTACACCTCCCAGTTGTGCTACAGACCAGTGACCAAGTTTTTATCACATGGGCCTGAGGGGCCATTCCATGTCCAATCCTGCTGACCTCCATCCTTGTCCTTTTACTCGTAGTGAAGGTGACTGCATTCTCTAGTTATCTAGACTCAAACGCTTGAATTTCCTTTTCCCTTACACACCATGTTTACCCACTGAGCACACCCTGATGGCCTTTCCATCTATCCTAGCTCAGGCTGCTCTTTAAAAAGGCCATAAACTGGGTGGCTTAAACAATGAGCTAATATTTCTTGTAGTTTTGGAGAATGGAAGTCCAAGACGAGGTCATTCACTGAGAGTTCTGTTGCAATTCACAAACTTGAGCTTCTTGCTTGGCCTTCATAGTGTAGAAATACAGCAGCTGGCCAGTCAGTGTTCTGACTTCTGCTTAGAATTTCATGACCTAATTAGCTACTTTCCCCAGTGCCCACCTCTAAATATGATCACATTGGCATTTACGTTTCAAACTTAACCATTTGAAGGAATGCAAATAATCAATCCATTTCACAGTCTGGGTAGAACCTGGATCCAAGCACGTCTCACCACTTTCCCACCTTCAACCCTACTGTCCTCAGCCAGTCTACCAAGCCTTCTGCTGATCTCCCAGCACAGTGTATTCTCTGTCCTTTAAAGAAAAAGCTGATTCTGGTTGCTGTGAACTAAATCTGACTCAGAACACTTCCTGAAGCCTCACCATTGCCCATATGCCTATGACCTTGCTGTGTCACTGACATCTCTCTGCATACTCCGCCTGCGCCTCTGCCCCTCACCATCCCCGTGGTGCCAGCATGTGCTGCCCACCCTGACGCACAGCCTCTGTACTTCCTGTCTCCAAACCCTGTGCCTGCAGACAGCTGCCTGGTTCATCACATGGTCTCTGCATTTCTTCACTGGCTCCATTGTCAGTGCGGTAGAGCGGCTTTTCCTGCTCCATGTGAGGAAAGAATGATTGCTCTCTGTATGTCCCTTAGGCTTTTTCTTAGTGACAGTGGTCACCTGACAAATTACCTACATGTGACATTAAAGTGAGGGGTAATTAATGAAATGATTTTCTAGTGCATAAAATAACTAATGTGAGAAAGAGGGAGAGGGAGAGGATGAAGAAGAATGGAAAGAGATAAGAAAGGAGAGAGAAAAGAAGAATCCAAAAGTGTCTCTGACTTTAGTCCTCCTGTGTTATTTGCTCTTTGCTCTAGCCCACCCTTTTCTGGGATTGACCAAATGATGACCTACAATTTAATTCTCAAAGGAATTGAGAAAATGGATTTTCCCAGAAAGATAACAAGACGACCTGAGGATTTGATTCGGAGGCTTTGCAGGTGAGAATGACTATTAGTGACCCATTGTTTTGGACAGAGTGTAAAGGCTCCAGGTTCTGCTTCTGTACGTTTTAAAATTAAGTATATGTTTGATATATTTTTCCATGTTTCCCAGTTACATTTATGAAGTGGCATTTTTCTGTTTTGTATTGTAAAGAGCTTGAGTGTACCTCATGGGTTATACAATCACAATGTCTACTTAAACGTTAAAGAGGTGTAAGTTTTACCTTGAGGAATCATCTTTATCTGTTATAGGAAAAAAAAGAACCACACACTTTAGTGGTGGCTGAATTAAAGGCCAACCTACACTATGCAGTGAGACCCTGTCTCAACAAACCTACAAACCAAAAACAAATGAAAAAACCAACAAACGAACAAGAAAAATCAAACAAAAGACAAACAGATTAAAACTCTCTCTTGGGAGGTTGAGCATATGCAATATAGCAAATAAGGGGGATTTCCTTCTATGTTCTGTTTCAAGTCAAAGGTTATTTTCACTGTTATGTTTTGTAGTGATTGTTACGCTCTGTTCAATAATCTCCTTCAGTTGGTTTTACAATGGTCTGTTATTGGTTTGATTTCTTGATATCTAATTGACTGGACAACTATTGTGAAGATAATGAGATATACTATAGTACCTATTACTACTGTCCCAGTATCCTGCTGTGAAGTTTTGTACTAGTGTCACTACATTGTCTAAATTGGCTTTGTTTTATCTTGTTCTGCTGTATTTTTACTGCATTCTAAATAAAATTTTTAAAAAACTATGAGCTCATTATTTTGAAAGAAAATAATAAAATATTAATGAATGCCTTCTTTTAATCTTTATTTTAAAAAAAGTTCCCCTCGAGTCTTATATTACTCCAAATTTTTATACTACTAAACATCATGCACCAGAAAATAAGAGACTTGCAAATTTTTTGCTAAGCTTTACTTTGCTGATATTTTTTCTCCCCAGATTTCAACTTTTCATAAACCATTAAAATTTAGTAAATTTAGAATGTAAAACCTAGCTGTGGGGAACCTGTAGGAATTCCCTCATGTTTTTAAAATTTCAGCCTAGATGTAAATAATTCTCTAAAGCTTTCCCTGGTTTTCTCAACAGTTAGCAAGTTATTACTTATTACACATTTATTCATAACTCATTTAAAGATATGGACTGTGTCTTTTTCAACTCTCTGTACTCAGCCGTCCACCGTAGGAACTGATTGAATGTGAAATGAGTGAATTAATAAATAGACATTATATTTTAATTTAAAATGCACTCAAGTAAAATCATCCTTTAAAAATTATTATTTCAGGCAAAATCCAACAGAAAGACTGGGAAATTTGAAGAATGGAATCAATGACATCAAGAAACACAGGTACACAGTTACTTCTTCTTCCAGAAAAATACAGTAACTTGTAGAATAATGTGATAATCATGACAGCTACCCTAAGTGAGCCATGAGGTTCTCTTTAGAGAAGTGTATTTCATCTTAGATGCCCATTTTTGGATTGAGTCTTTGAACTTGGGGGACCAGATTTTTTTCAATTTCTTATATGTTCTAGAAAAAAGTCCTTCTTCTGAGTGAAAATTTGCTAAAATATTTGCCACTTTGTGAGTTGTCTTTTCACATGTTGGTGATTTCTTTTGATTTTCAAAATGTTTCTAATAAGATGAAATCTCATTTATTGATTCATTGATATACTCCTGTGCAGTCTGGGTTTTGCTTATGAACTCACTGTCTACAACCGTATCTTTAAGTTTTCTACCTATTTTCTTTTACAGTAGATTTATTGTTCTTGTTTTAATATTTTGCTCTTTGGTCCATTTTAATTTTAGTTTAGTGCATGGTGATAGACATGTGTCTAGTTTTATTCTTTGGCATGTGGAAAGCCAGTTTTTCCAGCACCATTTTTGAAAGACACTATCTTTCTTCTGATGAATATGTTTGGCCCCTTTGTCAAAGATAATTTGAGTGTGTTGGAGTTGTGGCTTCATCTTCTAATGTGTCCAGCTCATCATTAGGTCTGTTGTTTTGCAAGGACCATGCTGATTTTATCACTGTAGTATAATTTCAAAACGGGGATTGTGATGCCCCTGCCTTGTCTTTGTTGCCTAGAAGTCCCATTCAACCTTGCAGTTTCCCTTCTCGCTGTCTTCCCAGAAGAATTAAAAATGTCATACGACAGCAATGTATGTGCGACCATGTTTATAGCAGCACAATTTGTAATAGCCTAATTTCAGAAACAAACCAAATGTCCATCAACTGAGGAATAGATAAAAAAAGATGTGGTCTTTTTATATAATGAAGTAGTACTAACCCACAAAGAAGTATAATTTTAAGACTTATAGGTAAATGGATGCAATGTGAGACCACATTCATAAGTGAAATAAATCAGACTCACATGTGTAAGCATCATATTGTCTCCCTGGTGGGAGGAAATGAAAAAGTAAAAAAGGTCCAAAATGCACAATAGATATAGTGAAATTGTTCAAAAGGCAAAAGGAGATAGGATGGGGGAATGGGTACAGAAAAGAAGAGAAAAAGAAAAAAAAAACAAGAAAATTCAAGACAGTTATAGCAGTAGTTTCTCTTAGTTCATAGGAACAAAAAGGTTTGTGCTAATATCATTTGGAGAGCTTTTATGCCTATATCATGCACTCGGTTAACTACTATGATGAAACAATACTCAATGTATTAACTACTGTTATTCTCCTAATAATATGAAATTCTGCTTTACTTTTTCCCATAAAATAAAAAAGACATGATTTCTTTGAGTAGGTGAAATGCATTGATTTTCAGAAAATCTCAAACAAAAGTTTATCCTTATATAGTAACCTAACATGCCCCTTTCCAGTTCTGTAGGTTTTTAAAAGTGGTCTTCAGAACCACTGGTAAATTCCTGCAGACATCGTCTCTGATTTGATCACGCATCCACATATGACACCTCAATCCTTCAAGATTTCTGTATTCCAAGTCAGTGTCTGTCTAAGTCCAGCAGTCCACAAGTTTTCATTTTGCCTGCAACAAGAATATCACATACAAGAATACGTTAATGGTACTACAAATAAATTCGAATATTTCACTACTGAAAACCTTTTGGCATACTGATGGGATTACATTTAGAAATGAAAAGGACCCTCAACATTTTGTTCCACTACAGATTTTGGGTTTTGTTTGTTTGCTTTGTGCTGGGATTGAATCCAGGGCCTTGCTTATACTAATCATGGGCTTTGCCCCTGAGCTCCACCCTTGTCTTCTACTAATGTTTTCCCAGAAATCTTAGAGATACATCAATATTATGTGAAAAAAAATAAAGAGACTTGTGGCTGCCAAGTATTTATTTTCCTTAATAGTAGAAGTACAGCTTTAAGAAAAAAAAATTTCGAGTTGCCAGCTCTGTTCTTACGTATTCATGAGCTTCAAATAAAGCCATGCATTCAACATTGTAAATGCCTGCAGAGCTCTGCTTTCAGGATGTATTAGCAAGAAAGGCAGGGAGGGAGAGAAAACATGGAGAGATAAGACCTACACATCTGTGGCCTTTGTAGACATCAAAAACCTTGTCTTATTTGAATGTTCTTTGTCACCCTCTGGATTGCCTTCAACTGTAAAGCTCATTATTAGTCTTAGATTCCAATTTATTTTCTTCCTGCACAACTGTTATCACTACTTTTCTCATTGCAAAATGACACATAAATACACCCTTTCTGTGGAGGAAACAAGTGTCCTGTCAGTTAAAGTGATTCTTCCAATATATGTTCCCTTTTTTTCTCATTAAGAAGTTTGTGGGGTGGTGTTTTGCTCTGGAGTAGTTAGGAAACAAGTGATATAATTGTTAACAGGCTCCAGCTTTATCTTTTCTTTATTTACCTGAAGCTCATTTAAATGTAGCTGTCAAATTGTGATGGGATGCACATGCAAATGGATGCTAAAGAATTTCCTCCCTAGAGATTCATTTGGTATTCTTTGCAATAATTCATTTTAGGCTGGAGTGTCTTTGTCATGTGTAGTTGAAGAATCATCTGCAGCATGCAGGTTAGAGCCAATTATTAAGAAATATCAAATGTACACAGTACTTTCTAGTGATCCCAGAGAGTTTGTTATGGTTTGTGTTGAGATTTACCCCCAACACCTAATGCGGTCATAGGCCTTTCTCTTTGGAGGTGGCTGAATCTAAAGTGTGATTGATCCGTAGTATAATGCTAGGATTACAGATGCTGGAATTAAGGGGGAGTGTTTGCTGGATCAGTCCACTGATTGGATTGGCACTGCCCTAATGCTAGTACATCAGATACAATATAAGAGACAGAAAATGGTTTCTCTGTCTGGTTTGATGCTTTTGCTTCCTTCTACTCTCCATGAATTGCTTTCCTTTGGAAGTCACTGTGTCTTACAGCCAGCCAATTATGGACTGAAACTTCTATGAATTGTAAACTAAATGAACATTTCTCCCTTTAACTTTGTGTATGGACTATCTTGTCTCGGCCATGAGAAACTAAGACAGAGCTCAACATAATTTGATTCTGTTTTTCTGTTTTCATGGTGCTTTTTAATCTTTCTAGCTAAGCGGAACCCCAGAAAAATAGGACTTTGATCTTTGCTTCTCTTTTGAAATAGAACTGTTTTAACAAAGAGAGAGGAGAGATAAAGATAGAGATAGAGAGCAAATTAAAAAAATAGAAAAGAAGTGCTTTTAAACCTGCAATAATAATAACAGGTTTATAGCTATTCTACTCAGTACATTCTTAGAATTCAAAAAATGTATTAAAAGTTTGGCATTAGATTTCCCCACTGTTCTCTAAAATAAAATTTTATTTTCTTGAGAACTATTCACTTTAGCTTTGTATTTAAAAGCAATACAGCTAAGCACAAAGATTATAATATAGATTTGTGTTAAACTGTCTTTTCCAAAAAGTAATTTTCGTTTTCCCCTGTTTACAACCTAATTTGTAAACCAATCGTGCTTCCTAACATCTATTCTAAAAGAACACTAATAAACATGTAGGGCACAATTAAACATTTTCTGATAGAAAGAAGAATAACTTTCAAGTATTTTAACATTACTTTTGCTTTCAAGAGTAGCTTCTAAACTCCTCTACAAACAAAGAAGCAATTTATGTGCTGTTGATTCTACTATTTCTTAGTGAATGTTGTTCAGAGACATAATTACTTAAAATGTGGCTAGTGTCAAAAGGCCAAATATTAAGTTAATGGCCACTCATGTTAAGTAAATATTGCCATAAGTGAAATTGTAACAAGTACTCTGTAAGAAATGCACAGCCTTTTTGATTCAGGAGAGTAATGGGAATGATTTTTTATTAGTATTTGTGGAGTACTTTCTGGTAGAGAAATTGTAAAATATGTTAAGAGGAATTGTTGCTGTGTGTGAAGGAAAAGGAAAGAATCCACAGAACTGTGTACCTAGAAATCCCTAAAAATGGAGCCTCAGGCCGTGTGGAGACATGATGGGTGGATCAAGGAAACAACTGTGGTTTCTCAATGAGGGCAGCAGAAGGAAAGGAAACAGCCAGGGTTGTGGCTGACTCAGTTTTTGATGAGAATCCCAGAAGCTTTTACTAAAATGGCACTTGAGGTGGAAATGCTCTAGAATTTGACCCTCTGTTTTTAGTTCCTTTTCTATGGCTAAGCTTAGACTTGGATTAAGAAATTCAGTCAAGGAGTGAACCAAAGCCAGCTCTGGGGTTAGAAGAAACTGATAGCTCGAGAGAGAAGAGACTGGAAGACAGTCCCCTCTGAGGTGGATGACAGATGAGACCGCCTTTGTAACGGACTGCCTCCAGTCTTATCCTCACCACCATCACCAGTCTGGCCATCCTGGCCCCTTCTGGTCATTCTCTACATACCCACAAGCACCTTTGGAAACAAGATTGCATCATTTCTTTAGAACTTTTGTAGTGGCTTCCCACCCACCACACCAAAAAGTCTTAATTCCTTACTGTACCATAAGCACATTCGAACATGATCTGGTCTCTGGCATTTTTCACATTGCTTGAAATTGTATTTTACCAGTTTTTATCGCAGTTCAACTCATCCCTGCCACTTCCTTCCATCTGAAGTCATTATCAGAGACCTTCTATGGTCTCACCCTCTTCATTTTGGCCTTGAGAGTTCACTTTTAAGACATCACCTTATCTAAAGACAATGCTTCCCATTATTCGCATAATTCCTGTTCCAGCCATCATCTATCACTTTACTCTCTTTTATCTTCCCAGAACTTACAAGTGTCTTAAATATTTTTATTTTCTACTTTTTTTGGGTTATCTCCAACCAAGATAAAAACATTTTAAAAGTAGGATCTTTGTCTTTTTTGATACCAAAAAATAGAGATCATATCGATTTTTCATAATTATTTGTTGACTGATTAAGCTGACCTCAGTGTCCCAAAGACCAGTGAAAGTGGAGTAATATTATCCTATGTTCTTTATGAGATCCTAACAGATGAAGTGGATTATGTCTAAGAGAAGCTGGAGACTGTCACACTTCTGGTGTTATACTCTAGCCCATCAAGCTGATATATATACCAAAGTCCAGTAGCCCTTCTAGATTAAAAATGCAGAAGAAATAAATGAAATAACTTCATCTGACCATCAGCCTTCTCCATATTTTCACTATGAACTTCTTTGTTATATTGTCACTTTTGAGATCCATATCACCAAGCCCATCACTGTCATGAGAGTGTGATGTATGACAGTGTGATGTAGGGGTCCCTGGGTAACGGAATTGTCTTATAGTTATTCCATCATTCACCAAACATTACTGAGACCCTGTCTGTATCAAGCACTGCCTCTAGTGTTAATGCAGAAAAGGAAAAGAAAGAGATGAAACCCTTGCTTTCATAGATTTTGTGTCTTAGTGGAGGAGATAGCCAAAGTCAGGTAGTTCATAAGACAGCAATAAATGATAAGGAGGAAAAGCAAACAGAGAGGAAGACTAAGTATGGGGAGGGGCAGGCCCTCCATAAGAGGGTTTGCAGTTTTAGACCAGATGGTCAAAGAATGCTTCCAGTCAAGGAGTGAACTGTGTGGAATTCACATTTCCACACAGTCAAGGAGTGAACTATGTGGAAATGTGGAGAAAGACCTTAAGGCGGTAGCATCCTTAGCTTGTTGAAAAAATGAAGAGGAGATACGAGTGAGCGAGAGGGGACAGAAAAGCAGGCCAGTGGCAATGCGGTGGAGAGGTGGGGGTGTGAAGGGTAGTTTTTGAGGCCTTGTAGGCTACACGGATGTGATGAAGATAGCCTTTCACACTGAATGAAGTGGGAAGCATGGTGATAGTGGTGGTAGTGACTTTGGTCCAAGTCCTGGTGTGATCTACCTTGTGGTAAGTGATTATGCCTGCAGCTGAATGTTTTCCCAAGGACAAAAGCACAGCTTCTGCTATCCAGGGAGACAGGATGTTTTGAGCACTATCAGATTTGGAATACAGGTCCTGTGTGCTTTACAAGTGACATTGACCAGATTTGCTTATGAACTGAGAATGTGAGAGAAAGAATAACTTATGAATGCTTACAAATGTGAGAGAAAGAGAAACTCCACTGCTTTTGATTTGACCAATGGGAAGGTTTGAAGCAAGTTTGATGGGGGAAGCAAGTTTGGTGGGAGAAACTGTCACTCCAACTTGGGCTTGATACAATTGTTAATTGCCTGTTAGAGATCCAGATGGGAGCTAATGAATAGCAATTAATGAGCTATTTAGGTATACAGAAGTGGAGTCTCAGTCTGAAATAGAAGTTGAAGGATATAAATAAATCAATATATAAATGCTGTTTAATGCCAGGAGAATGAATGAGGCTGCCTACGAAGTAAGAGTAGTTGAAAGGAATAGACGTCCAGTGAGCCCTGGCACACACCTACTTCACCAGACCAGAGAAAGACTCAAAAAGATAAGAAGAGGGTCCGGACAGTAGTATGTTCTGGAAAGGAAAAGAAGTAGATGAAAGTTTTGTGATGTATAGCTAAGTGAAGAAAGATTTTGAGAAAGTGTGATTGATTGTGTCAAATGCTATAATTAGATCAGGTAAAGTAAAAACTGAAAACCCAGGTAACTCACTGGAGTGAAGGGAATGGAACTTGATGTGGTGAGCTCCAGAGACAATGGGTAAATACAGTGATTAAGTAATTCTTGCACAGAGTTTCCTCCAGTGGAAGGGGAATATTACATTGGAAGTTGGAGGGAAATGCAAATTAAAAGAAGTTGCTTGGTTTTATAAAATGTGTTTCCGTTGATGAGAATGATCTAGCAGCAAAGAAGATGCAGGAGAAAGGAGAACTGCAGGAGTGTCTGAGAAGAGACAGTGAGATTACCTATCTAGCAGAGAAACTGGCTTTGGCTAGAAACAAAGACACTTCATTTTATTTCATGATGCAAGAGAGAAGGTATCACAGATAAGAGTAGGGGCAGATATGCTGATAGGAGTTTTCTCAGAGGAATAAGAGACAAGGATATCAGGAAGATAGGAAGAAAGTTATGGAAGTTAGGACAGAAAACAATATGAATTAAAGGAATAGGTTAAATTAAGGGAATATGACAGGGAAATTTAGGATAGTGGATAGTGGGCATTAAATGCCCACTTGAGCTTAGTTGGCATGGATGTAATGTAAACCCTACACTCAACGTGATGACATTTGTGGCTCTGCTGTTGCAGGCAGGAAGCAAAATAGACTGACTTATACTTAGACATACTAATAGCTTACTAGATAAGTAATATTTCACTGCACTTTCCTCATTTTTCAGGTGGTTAAATGGTTTCAACTGGGAGGGACTAAAAGCACGGAATCTTCCCTCACCTTTACGAAGAGAGGTATGTTATTTATGGTATTTTCTGTAATAGTTTCTTCGTTTCCTTTGAGGATTTGCTTTGTGAACTTATTTTAATGGTGAGTGTGTGTCTTAATTACTTTTCTTATTGCTGGGACAAAATGCTCAGTGCCCACAACTTAAGGGAAGAAAGGTTTATTTAGCTCACACTATGTAAAGGTTTTAGTCCATAATCAGCTGGTTACAAGGCAGCGTGGCACATGGCAGAGGGACATCACAGAGGAGAAACAGTTCATAGCAGGCAGAACAGCAAAAGCAGCAAGTTGCAAGTGTCCTTTATTTCTTATCCAGGCTGCTCACTCTTGGTGGGGGAGCAATCATACCCTTAATCTTAGTGTCACACTGTGAATCAGTCCTGACATCACATTCTTGATCTCAGCACCCACCATAGATCCAGCCACCTCTTAAAAACACCACCTATGACCACATGAGGCTTTGGGGGAACATCTAGACACAAGCCATAACAGTGTGCGTGTGTGTGTGTGTGTGTGTGTGTGTGTGTGTGTGAGTGTGTATGTGTGTGCATGCGAATGTCCACCCATATACATGTATGCATGCATGATGAATTTTATGTGGTTTTCAGAAAAGGATTTTTTAAATAAAATGAAAATTTTATAGTAATTATGATTTTAGAGACTAGTGTTGTCTATCTGGTAGTTTTTGGCCCACCTTTGTGGAACTACTCACCCATCTATACCACCTAAAATCCAAGTTAGTCAGTGTGGGCCAGGCTGACAAATGAAGTATCATTTATTAATTGCTTTTCTGCAATAAATATTCAGAAACCTGTAATCTCTTAGTGCCTTGTGACATTGCATGCTATTACAATAGAATTATAAGTGAATCTGAAGAAACATTTATGTTGGCAGAAATATTTATTATCACATGTCCAAAAAAGAATTTCAGAAACTAAAATTTAGGTATTTCAAGAATGATAAAAATGGATTGTCAAGAAACTATTTCACAGTAAGATGAATTTTATGGGGAAAATGGGATGGAAGTAGAGGGAGAAAAGGGAGCAATGTGATGTTTCTCTTTTTAAAGTGACTGATGGCAATCAAACCTCAATGGTATTTAGACTGGAGTAGATAAAGGGGTGAACTAACAGTAATACTTTACTTTAACATGCCAGTGTTTATGCTGTATTGAATTTCTCCATAATTATGTGTCCTGTAATAAAAACTTCAAGCTACAAATGTGAAAGGGGAGAGGTCACTTTCAGAGACAACAATAGCATGAAGTTAGTGGAGTGTTGACCTGGGTACTTCCTGAGTCATTCTTCCCCTAAGTCAGCTGATGCTGGGCTTTCCTCGGAGCTTGGGTCCACTTGGTGACTGGCCACATGTGGTGGGTGTCACTCAGTGGTGACTGAATCACATGAACTCCTCAGTGATCTCTCCTAAGCACACTATTATATATCATAAACATTTTTTAAAATTTTATTTAAGGAGAAAAAAAAGCAGAGAAAGGGTACAAGTTATACAGATTTACAGAAAAAAAATAAACAGTAGGAAATCACTAGTTAAAGGATTACATATTGTCATCTTAGAAATAATTGTTCAAGTCACAAAGTTGAAGCTTGTAAAGTGGACATTCCAACAGTGAGACTGCAAACAGTTCTGTTCAATGATCCAATAAAACTCAGTGATATCATTTTCTATCTTATACACTTAAACATACATACAGTTATATCATTTAGAGCACTTTCTTTTCCTCTCTTTTGTACAATGACAATTACACATTTTGGGTTTTGTTACTCCCACAGTTCTTATTACTTTTTTGGAAGGGAGTAGAACCAAATGTGACATAACAGAACAGAGTCAATCAAATCAAAAGGGTGGACATAATAGATAATGTAAAAGCATAATACAAGGTGATCAATAATGGTTACCATAATGCCTCCCGCTATCTCTAATAGAATTGCCTATATCATCAGTTATAATAAAATTGAACAAAACAGTAAAGAACAAAACCGACAAAACCAAAACATTGGAGACATTGTAGGTCTTCAAAAGTAGATAAAAGTCATCAAGAATGGGCATCATAATGAATCTCACTATCTTCACAGCTGTTGCCTAAACTTTCGAACCTGGTACTATCAAGCAAAGCAGAATAGGGGGACATCAGTCAAAAACAAGATGGTGAGAGTAATACAGGGCTTTAAATCAAGATAATGGAAAGTCAAAGAACATTTTTAATCATTCACCTGTGCATTCAATTTGATACTATGTAATTATGCTTGCAAGCACAGAATTAGAAACTGCTTGATTTGCAAAATTACTGATTACCAGAGTCATTTCATTCTTTTGAAAGGGTCCCTAAAACTTTGAATTAGGCTCTTTTTTTAGCAGTCAGAGTACTTCATAGGCTGAATTAGATGACTAAACCTGGAGATTGGCAAGAAGCTTTTATGGGGAACAAGAGAGCCACGGGCAAATTTTGATTTTATAAGTATTTGCTTTAAAATGTTTTATATCTTGGTTAAAAATAGATAATTCTTTCTGTCACTTTTTCTTGAGGAGGTAGCCCCTCATGCCTGGTAGCTTTGGATAAATGCAATCCACTGATGGAATCACTGTTTTGAAATAGGAGCTCAAGGACACAGGGCTGAGTCAGTAATGACACTTGGCCATCTTTTCCTTGTGTGTTGTTTGCAGATAGAACAGGAAAATGGGGTTCCGCTAGAAAAAGCTTTATCCAGGTGTTGTAGCCTGCTTAGTCTGCATTATCTTCACCTTTGTTTTAATTCTTTCTGTATTAGCTCAGTGGACCCATAGATCACAGCTACTTTGACAAATATCCTCCCGAAAAGGGAGTGCCTCCGGACGAGCTGTCAGGCTGGGATAAAGACTTCTGACAGAAGAAAAGATGGTTCCTGCCAAGACCCTACTGAAGAAGACTATAAGGATCAATAACCCAACCCTGAGTTTTCCTGTCTTCGAAGTATTATAATATCTTTTGAAAGGCCATTAGGGAAAAGAAATCTCTGCACAAGAGACGGAGGAGAGTGGTACAGATGTGGTTCTGAATAATGTCTCCTTTGGGATACTATGATTTATTCATGTATTCTGCCTTTTGCCTGTATCAATGTGGAAGGATACCCTTTTTCCCTTTTCTATTGAAATGGCATCGTTTTTTTTGTTTTGTTGAAACCTAATACTTTCTCAATCATGGTTTTTTTCCCATGAATCCTAAGGTTTAAAAAGTATCGGCTTCTGAGCAAGTAAATCATACAAAAATGAAGGAAGAATACAGTGAATTTTGAAAGATTTCCGCAGCACTCAACAGTTCCGTGTATGCATTGTGTCATCATAATACGGTGGTTTGCAGAAATCTTGGTAATCGTTAGAAACCCTTGGCATTCATTTGCTTTTAACCTAGAAACATGCTAATATGTTTCTGATGCTAGTCTGGGGAAAGGCAGGTTTGAGTCTTACAGAGTGACACTTTTTCTAAAACAAATGAACCAATTAATCTAATCAGACAATTATATTCTATTGGAGAACTTAGAAAAAATAAAGCAAAAAAAATTTCTTTCTCCTGTGACTCTGTGATTCCACAGAAAACTTTTTATAAGCCTGTTAAAAGCAATTATAATGTATGGTTAAATTATGGGCCTTGAAAAAATTTTATTTTAGGTACTAAAATGTTTTCTACCAAAGTAGAAATATGCTGGGACAAAATTGTGATGACTTTTCCTTTCCTTCAAAGATAAAGGGAATAAAATCTACTAAGGTTGTGGACCTTGGAAACTCTGAGATAATTTTAGCCAGTTTTGATTGTTGCTCCCCAAAAATAACCCCCATCAATTTGTAATGAGAAGTCCATTGGCAAATGTCAATCCACTGTACTCACTGTGGAGTTAATGGCTGTTTTCAAGGATATCTGAATCATAGATATATTTATAATTTTAACACATGCCATTGTAGAACTGTTAAGATTTTAGACATGCATCTAGCATCTGACCTCTTCCTGTCTCCTCCTGGCAATCTTCCAGATATGAATAGGGTAATTTTCTATAATGTTGGACACCAGTACCCAAAAACTTGACTAGTGAGTATTTTCATGTGTTGGCCTTGGTCACTCTTCTACCCTCCTTCCAAAATAAATGGAAAACAGAGCTTTCTCTATGTCTTATAATCTGACAGTAAAAAAAATCTAAATTCTAGAACTATTCAAATTTCTGATTATATTTTTATATGATAATAGTCTATTGAAAACCAACCTCTACCCTCGCCACACACACATTTTTTACCATTCAGAGAAAGGTATCTGTATGTTTTCTGAAGTCTTGAATCAGACAAGTGAGGCCTAGATCAAGGGGGTACATCCTTAATAAATGAATTTCTACATTTAGAGTCCTTTTGCCGAACCAAAGAGTTTTTGTTCCTGGAGTAGTATTTTTAAAGATTACATATTGTACATAGAAGATCCATTTTTAATAGAAGTGACATAACCTGCTGAAAGAATTTCTAAACTTTATAAAAAATATTTTTATTTGCATTTTGTTTGTATGTACTGTATGTTTTCCATGTATATATTTTAACATTACCAACATATGCAGGTAAGAAATTTATGCATTGGATGGATATTAGAACTGTACAGATATAAACCAATGATATTCTCAAAGAGATCAATAGTTAAAATTTTAAAACTCTACATATAGAGATGAAAACCAGTTTAGAATACTGCAGGTCTACTTTGCCCATGATTAACCACATCATCTGTAGTCTACAAATTTTATTTTATTGTTTCTTTTAGAGTATCTTATAAAGATGAAATATAAGTGCTTGACCCATCATATAATCCCAACTCTACTATTTCTAGCTGGGAAAATAATTTACTGTTTGAGTACGAACTATCTCACTTGTGGAAAAAGGCACAGCAAAATAATATCTACTTTAAAAGCTTGTTCTGCCCTTTATAAAAATTATGCAGAGTTCTTTGTCTAGTTTCGATGAAATAATCAATGCTGCATATATGGGAGCTACTGTTATTATCTCTGTTAAAATTCAAGAAGCCTTACTGACCGTTTAGTGCTGGACCTTATGTATCACTGGTGTCTGTATGTGCAGTTGTACCAATTAAATCCAGTATCTGTTCTTCCTTTGTCTGATGTCTACAAGTAAAGAGGGTTGATCAAACTTCAGTGTATGAAATGAAGGGTTAATCCTCAACAAATGAGGTGTGTTATTAAGCTAACCTACATGGTAATTTTTATAAATTGAACACACAAGAAAATATATAGAATTATCTTAGTCTGTATAAATTCATAAGATGCCTAATCATTAAGTCATCCCTAATCTTTCTTTTCTAAGGTGGAAGGTTAATTTTTCATTTTCAAGCTTCTTCCAGGTACCGACAGCTTTTCATAATTATGGTTTGTAGTCTTTTCTCAAAATATTAATATGTCTGGAGAGAAAAGAACATAATAAAGAAAAATATGAGATTAATAGTAAAAAATGATATGTGTTTGAGTTCTAGCTTTGCCCAGATTTGCATTATTTTAATCAATAGAATACATCTTTATTCATCTGTAATTTAAAAATATACATCTAAGGTTTTGAAATACTGAGCCAGATTATGATTACTAATATGTCATTGATCATAATCATTTGAAAGATACATGCACATGGGTTTCTTTTTTGTATAAGCTTTTTCGTTATCAGACACCAGAAACACTTGCACACCTGGTCTCAGTCATACAAAATTCTAACTTAACCCAAAGCTAAATACTGGCCATAAATACACATCTCACAGTTTAACTCTGATGCTTTTTGCCTGCCTTAGTTTCAGTTACAATGACTGTAAATAAATTACTCCAAATTTTAGCTGTTTAGAACAACCATTTGTTATTTTCCTAGATTCTGTGGGTCAGGATCTCAGGTAATACATAGCAAACCTACTTTTTCTCTGCGTCACAATGTTACGGACATCTGGGGGAAAGACTGAAGGATGGATGGTAGCTCGTAGGTAGGCCTCAGAATGGCCCAAAGCCTTGCTCATTCACAAATTAATAAGCTTTCTCAGTGCTGAGACACAGTGCCTGACACTTGCAGATTTAATATGTTTCAGGGAATTCAGTCCATGATTACCTGGTTCTAAGGCAGGAGCATCGTAGTGGCAGGGCGTGGAAGAGCCATTCTGCGAAGCAGAGCAAGGAACAGTGCCATAATGGATGGTGCCAGGGCCCACTTGTAGCACCTAAAATCATACCTCCATGACCCACACAGAGGGATATCTAACTGTAAGTTATGTCTTAATCCAGTCAAATTTACATGTTATGATTAATGGTCACATGTTTTGTGCCTAATCTGAGACTATTCAAAGATTAGGACTATGAACCAGGCTGCCGACACATGTCTTCTCCATGGCATTTCACACATAATGGTATCCTTAAAATAGACTCCTTTATTGTAACATAAGGCTCCAAGAGTGATTATACTTGTCAACAAAGACAGAAACACTGTCCTGGATAAATCCCCACAAACACAGGCCTACACAGAATGGAGAGGATCTCAAAGAATTTACAAGGAAATTTTAAAACTGCCACAGTCTACTTCCTGATTATACATTAATATGATGTACAAAACAAATTCTTTCTCTCTTAAGAGCCTCTCTAAACATATCAGGCTCATGCTTAAGATCCTGGATCACTGACTCCAACCTGGGTGTGGAAAGCCGATTCCTTGGATATGTTGTGATAGATCTGAAAGCCTGCAAAGTAAGTAAATAAGCACTCAAAGCACTGAATGGTGACATAAACAAAGATATCCACAACAGATACTTGCATTAGCAGAGGGGCAAACAATGCACAAAGAAACCATTAGTCTGTCGTAATTTCTTTGCTTAGTGCTTGCTGGTGGTCCTTGGGAGGCATTTGGATCCCTTAGCTCTGCCATTTGCAACCTTGGTTGTACCTCCTGAGCCATCCTTCCTTTTCCAAAAGATATAGCCAATATTTGCAGCTAAATGGTTTTCATTGCTGCTCTCAGGTACATAAACATTTTGGTAGTAACGCTTCCTTTCAGTGAACCTGTCTCTGTGTCTTTATTCCAAGCTGACAATATTTTTTAAGAAACTATGGGTTTCCCATGTATGAGTTTATCATCTACTCCACAAATCATAAGCCACTGTTGCAAATCTTTCCTATAAAGATGCTGTGAGAAAATTTTAATATTTTTAAAAGCTCTAGTCTTTTCCCAATATTGGAGATTGAACCCAGTGTCTTTGCACAGAGCTATATTTCCAGTAATTTTGTTTTTTGAGACAGGGAGTCACTAAGTCACTAAGTTGCCTAGGCTGGGCTCCAACTTGCAATTCTACTGTCTCAGCTACCTGCCAAGGTGCCTAGTTAGCATCTGTAGTCTTTAGGGAGATTCTGCAGTGCACATGCTTAACAGTGCTTCAGAGGTCTGTTTGACAAGGGAAGGAGGAAGTGTCAAAGTGGTTTCCAAAGATTCCTGCTTCTGGTGGCCTGTCCTCTATAATCCCTTATCTTGAGTATAGGCAGAACCCAGTCCTTGTCTTCCAATGAAGAGAATATAATAAAATATTGGGCTGTGAGTTCCCAGAATAGATTGCACTCACTCTGCTTCTGTCCTTCCTACTAAATTGGGAAGGGAAGATGGACACAAGAATTTTTTGTGACAAAGCAGAACCCATGAGTTCAAACTGGAACCTGCACGTGTCTTTCATGGTGGCTAACCTTGGTCAGAGGGGTAGCCTGCCGGATATGCTGGTACCTTTCCATGTGCCCAGGTTATGATCTGAGGGTGCTGAAAGGGCACACTGGCTGAAGCTGGAGAACTCATGCTCCAGGCTGTTGCTCCCTATCAACAAGATATGTTATCAGGTCAGCAGCAGTGTGTCTGAGTAGGCACAGTCCCTGGTCTTATGTTGACTTCCCACGTGCAAGAATGGCTGCTGTCTTTGCCCTTCAGATCTTATGCAAAATAGTTCTATAAAAAGGCCTAACTCAGAACTGTACAAAGAAAGGGATTCTGGGAAAAGTATTTTTGACTTAGCCTAATTGACATACTATAAACTTGCTCAGTTTTGGAAATAGCAAATACGATAGTTCTTACATAGTTTACCTGCTTAGAGTTTTTGAATAGTGAGATTTGCCTTTTCTCTCTCCATCCAGTTTATCAAAATGTATTTAGGACATGAGCCACATAATTTAACACAATAATAATTGGTCTCCGATGATTTCCAAACATGCTGTAAACTGAATTACAGCTGAAACAGTTTCAGTTTTGGAAGACATGAAATTGAGATGTATTTTGTATTAACTGTTGGGTGCTAAATTTTAAAAAGTACAATGAAAAATAGCATGAAATTTGCTTTAGTCAGTAGGAACTTCTCCAAAGAGAGAGAGAGAAAATAGGCATTGAGGGAACAAAGGTAAACCACAACCTGATGTGATAAAGGAAGAACAATTTATCAATCCTGGAGCTCAGAGCAAATGGGTTCCCTCTCTAGGTAGATGGAGAAAGTCCTGTGACTCAGTGGAAAGTAGTCTGACTAGAAGTCAGCTATCTAATCTTGCCATTTAAAATGCAAGGAGACCCACAGGCTGTAAATGGATCATGAAATGCAAGATCTGGAATGGTGCCATTTTCTGTATTTTGCTTGGATAGCTGTTGTAATGTGTGCTCAGTTTTGCACTTAGGAAAGATAGTCAAAATATTAAAGTATGCATGGAAGCAAATAACATTTAGATACATGAATAAAAGCTAAGGAGACTTAAGCCAAGCCAGGTGTTGTGGTACATGCCGGTAATCTCAGTACTCAGTGCTCTGGAGGACTGGGACAAAAGGTTCACAAATTTTAGCTCAACCTGGACAATTTAGCAACTTACAGAAATCCAATCTCAAAATAAAAAATAAAAAGTTCTGGTGATGTAGTTTAGTGCCAAGACCCAGGGTTCAATCCTCAGTATCAGAAAAGGAAAAAATATATACCTGAAAATGTTTTTAAATTTGTGATTTTTCTTTTTTTTTAACAGTATATATTTGCAATATATGACACTGACATTTATTTGGGGGAATTGTTATGTATATAACATACCTTGATCACTTTCAAACCCCTCATTCATACCCCTTCCTCACTCTCCAGACTCCCTTTGTTTACTCCAAAAAGCCTTTTTTTACTCTGTAATTTGTGTATAGTTGAATCTCTCATATAGAAGAAACTACAAAATATTTAACTTTCTGTGTCTGACTTATTTTACTTAGTATTATGTCTCCAGAGCCATCTATTTTCCTACTAATGACACAGATTTATCCTGAATAAAATTAAGTTGAATAAAATTTCATTGTAAATGTATACCATATTTTCTCTATCCATTCATTTGTTGATGAGATCTAGGCTGTTTCTAGAAGTCAGATATTGTTAATTGTGCTGCTGTAAACATGAGCGTGCATGTATCACTGTAATAGGATATGTTGGAATTTTTCGGAAATTTACCTAGGAGAGGTAAAATTGAGTCAAATGGAATTTCAATTTTTAATTTTTTGTGAAATCACCACACTGAGTTCCATATTAGGTTATACTATTTTCACATGCACTACCAATGTCACAAGACTCCTTTTTCCCCACATCTTTGCCAACATTTATTGTTTCGTGTTTTTGATGCTAGCCATTCTGACTGGACTAAAATGGAATCTCTAAGTTGTTTTGGTTTGCATTTTCTTAACAGCTAAAGAAGAGAAACATGTATTTGTTGGCTAATTTGTACTTCTTTTGAGAGCCTATATTCAAGTCATTTGTCCATCTGTTGAATAGGTTGTTGCTGGTGGAACACATTGCTTGATTTTTATTTTTTTGAGTTATTTGTATACTCTCAATACTGGTCCCTATCAGAAGAGTAGCTAGCTGGCAATTCTTTCCTATCGCGTAAGGTTTCTCTTGACTTTGTTGATTGTTTCCTTTGCTGTGCAGAAGTTCTTAACTTGTATAGTCTCACTTGTTAATTCTTGGTATTATTTCTTATTCAGTTGGAGTTCTGCTTAAGAAAGTCCTTGGCTGTGCCTGTGGCTTCAAGGTTTAATCCTATGTTATTTTGTACCATTGCAATGTCTCTGTTATTATTATCTTAGTATTCCATCTTGTTTGATTTGATTTAAATATAAGGTGAAAGTTATGGGTCTCATTTCATTCTTCTCCATGTGAATAACCACTTTTCTTAGCACCATTTGTTAAAGAGGCTCTATTTTTTCTACAGTGTATGTTTTTGGTCCAAGATCAGATGACTAGAGGTGCCGGGATTGGTTCTGGACCCTCAGGTCTATTTCATTAGTCTGCATGTCTGGTTTTTGTGACAGTACCATGCTCTTTTTATGTATCACAGCTTTATGTATCACAACTTAAAGTTTGGAATTGCAGTGCCTTCCACTTTGCTCTTTTTGTACAAGATTGCTTTGTTTATTGTGGGTCTCTTCCGAGTTTGTGTAAATCTT